ACTGAAGTAAAACAACTGTGTGAATTACTGTCAGCATTACACTCACACTGTGACCTCCGACAGCTGTTCCTTAGTCAGGTTTAGTGGATGATTGATGGCTGTGATGCCATACTCATTTAAATCGGCACCAGGAGGCAGGTTGGCTCGAAGGATGCCGTTATTTGCCACGTTCATGAAGGCCACCATAGCGTGCCAGCCTTTGTTATTGAACCACACCTAGAGGAGATAACAAATGGGTTATTTATCTTGAATGGGACGAGCCGAGCTCAGTAAACTGTGACAGAAGGTGAAGCTGAAAGAAATCTCACCTTGACATTGTTTTCAGTTTCCATATATCTCAAGAAAGTCCCAAACTCCTGCAGAGTAGCTTTGAGTATTTTCCCTACAAATGATCACAACACTTTAATCTTTTAATTATATTCAAAAAACTAAAAGCAATTTTCATTCATTACTTTGCTTCGATTACATCAATTCACAATGAAAACAATTCGAACATTTACCCCTGTAACATTAAGCAGACGTCCTAACTGAGCAGCTGCATTCTGGATGGTTTTAGGATCCACATCGAGAACAGGAAGTCGCCCTCCAACAGAAATGCCACCATACCTGAAGAAAAGAGACATTCTTCCACATTATTTAGATCACAGAATGCATCGATGTGTTCTACAAGAGGGAGTCATTGTATTTTTTTACTTCGTGTTCAAGTCACCCATACCTTTGTTCAGTCACCCAGTACTTGCTCTTCAAGCTGTACAACAAAAACACAAATAAGATGAATTCCTGGAAACATGAGAGCAAGTTAATGAATGATTAGTCGCAAATGCGCCATAATACCTTGTCCGTATTAAGTTTGGGTAGGTCTTCACCAAATAATCAGAGATGTTCCTGCCAGTCAGATCCATCAACATGTCACCAGTGGACTGAATCCTCTGAAATGCAGGAGACACTATATCACTATACATAATTTTAAAGACTTTATATTGTTGTATCTTTAACTGAGAGACAAACCTGGGGAGGAGGAAGACCTCCAGCACCTTCTGGACACACAGGTAACATGGTGAGTTTGTTGGGCATGCTGCACTGGCAGCTGGGAGACGGACTAATGTCCGTCCATTCTGGGTTACCCAGCATCTCAATGAGCGCTGGGTTCACCAGGGGCATCTCCCACTCTGTGGTTATGTTATTACACGGATAGTCTCTGTGGGAAGCAAGAATGGACATGGTAAGCAGGACAAACACCTCTGGAGATTCATGTATATCATAAGAATGCATGTGCACGTACTCTAAAGGTTCATCCACCATACAGCGAGTCCCAAATCCAGGTCTGTTTAGAAGAACCTCGCCAAAATACCTCATATCTGGGCTTTGCATCTGTTCATTGCTGGAAAAAATAGACATAAAAAGACTGTTTTAACTGCGTAGTTAACTATTCAGTAAATAGCCAATTCTGTTCCAATGTAAATATACTGTACCTAAAGAAGGTGAACTGTCGGCCGTACATCCATGGGTTTAGAGTAAGACTGGGGTATTCGCCGAATGGAGGAACAATCAGCGTAAACATCAGAGAAACAAGGACGAAACTAGCAGGCAACACAATCTGAGGAAGAGAATATCAGCAGGCACCATTAAAACTCTCATTTTTCAACCAAATCCTATGGACTTCATTACTGGCGCTACAAAAGCAAAAAGTTTCCAAAGCAATACTGTTATTCTGACCTGGGCGAGGAAGTCTTTGCCGGATCGTGTGGTGTGATGGAACCTCTTAATGAGAAGAGCAAAAAACTGTTTCAAGACCAGAAAGATGCCCTTCACCTGATAGGATCCTCTGCCATCTCTGCTGGTTGAACCTCCAGAGTTAGACTGACCATTAGCATACACCGACCGGTCTGTATCTGCACACAAGATCAACGCAGTCAAAATATATATCTAAATTATTTTCATTATTATTTTTTAAATGTTTTGGTCAAACTAATATGGGTTTTCCAGTGAGAACAGGGAGGCGTTTGCAGTATAATGCTAGTACAATTTAATAATAGCATACAGACAAAACATAATTGAAAAAATTTTACATGAAATAGGCCTATTACTTTTATATATATATATATATATATATATATATTTTTTTTTTTTCCATCAATGTTATTTTAGTATCATTGAAATGCTTTCATGGTTTTTATTAATATTTTTAATTAGCTTTTATTTTGATATTTTAAATTGTTATTTTGATTTTTAGTTAATTTTTTTAGTTTTTAGAAACTATGAATCAGTTAAACCATTGCGTTGCAAAATGATTCACTGTGAAGTGCTACAAATGGATCACGTATCCATGCGAATCATTTTATTTAGATCGGGACTTCGCGTGTCATGAATAATTTGATTCAGATCGGAGCTTCGGAGGAGTTTCGCGAATCTTTTCACGAATTGAATGCCTCGCGATTCACGCTTCGAAGTCACGATATGAAATGATTGTTTGCGAATCATTATACAGATCGGGACTATGGAGAGCGGATCGCGAATCATTTTGTGCGGGTTCGCAAATCATTTGATTCAGATCAGGTTTTCGGAGCGCGTGTCGCAAATCCTTTAATTCAGTTCTTTTTTCAGATTTTTTTTTTAATTAAACAGTACAAAACATCAAACCGTTAAGGCAGTACAGTTATAAAAAGAAAGAAAAAAAGAAAGAAATAATACACAAATACAGATCCCTTAAGAAAATTAAGCATGGTTTTATTATAGTAAACGTGTAGTAACCATGATTTTTTTTTTTTTTTTTTGT